TTGCGACAGAGGAATTGCCGGCGGAGACAGGACCAGTCGAGGAGAGGAATGCCAGTCAGAGCGAACACGAGTCTTCTAAAGCTGATCCCTCACTTGGAGAGGCCACTTGGGGTAAAACACCCTCTGGAGTCGGTCAGCTCTTTCGTGATTACCGCTTGCTCAGTAGCTGACCATATAGTCTTTCGTGTCCCTCAAACCCACTCCTTTTTACATACACTGCTCCGCACTCTCCATCGCTCATCCCTTACCCGACTAACTTTCCTGTCCCTGATCGCTCAACCCATCATATTCTATCTGCTCAGATCACATCCTACTATACGCTCCATCTTTTTCCTCGTCTACTTTGCGTTCTGGCGGGCATGCTACGATTGGGGTTTTGCATGGGTTTTGAGAAAGCAGAGCGAGAAACGCTGGATCGTGCGACAACTCAAGAGTCGCGGTTGGCTTGATGTGGACAGCAATTCTGGGGGATCAAGTGGTAGGGTGTGGGCCAAGTGGTGGAAACGGGAACTGGAGATGCAGATGGGTGAGGGGTATAAATGGGAAGACGTACCTGCAGAATTCAACGCTTGGTTGATATTCCGTCAATTGGTCGACGTGGTGCTTCTCAAGTAAGCTTCTCTTGAGCTTGCTTCTCTGTTCCCATGCCGCATCTCGTAGAATAGGAGTGCTGATGATCAGTGATTTCGTATCTTACTCTTGCTTCGCTTGGGCTCACCTCCACTTCCCACCGAATCACTCTTGGGTGATGCATGGTCTTCGCTGGATCCTAGGATGGTCTCTCATTTTCTTCAACCTCTGGGTCAAGGTAGATGCTCATCGAGTGGTCAAGGACTACGCATGGTACTGGGGGGACGCATTCTGGTTGATGGTCATGCAGAACGATTTGGTGTTTGATGGAGTCTACGAGATCGCTCCTCATCCCATGTATTCCGTGGGATACGCTGGGTACTATGGAATTTCTATGGGTACGTGTTCTATACTCCCATTGCCTATCTATTTTGCTAATCATCTAGTGGTCGGATCATACACCGTCCTCTTTGTTTCACTCGTCGCACATGCTGCCCAATTTGCTTTTCTTCTGTGGTTCGAAAATCCTCGTGAGTTCGGCCCTTTTGCAGACGAATGAAGCTCACGATACAGATATCGAACGGACTTATGGTGGTGGTAAAAAGCCTCTGGCCTCTCGGGTTCCACTGTCTTGGGGAACTGGCAGCTCGTCCATCAGTATGATGTCAGATGATGCAGCGGGAACGTCAGATATTATCATGCGTAGGCAAGTTAGCGGAGGGTCAGAAACTCCTGGTATCACCGAGGGTATGTCACTACCCAGGTATTTAGCATTCTTGCTGACTCTCCAGGCGAGTCCGAGACGGAGCCAGAGCTACCGGAGCTTCCTCCGATTCCCGAGCGTAATCCTGAAGTCCGTCATCTCCGCTCGGACAGCTCCGTCAGCTTTTCTTCAGTTTCGTCCACGCCCAAACTCGGTGACAAGACTCGCCAGACTTTCAGCAGCGTACCAGGTCCGAAGCGAAGCAAGCCCGACTCGATGCATGATCTGACCAATCGTTTCTTCCGTAAGCCTGCTGTTGTGCTTTGGCATTTGGACATGTTCAGGTAAGCGGCCGAACTTTCCGCCCCTATGTTGCTGATATCACTCAGAGCTAGCGACTTTGCGACGGTCCTGCTACTTCTGTATGCACTTTCCACTCTTGTTCCGGGACTAAGACCCAACATCGCTCTCACAGCACATTTCCTGCATGCTCTATCGTGGCGACTGTTCCATTCATTCGGGCTCGGTCTGATGCTTCGTGCTCAGAGTAAGACCAAATGGCTTGTTAGACATTACCTCAAACATTATCATTACCCTGGAGATCCAGACGATTCCACCTACCACGAAGACGCTCGAGCTAGTGTGGTGCGACGAGCGACTCAGGAGGCGTTTGGTAATTGGCAAGTGGTGTATAACATCTCGCTTCTGATGACATATGGTATGTCCATTCCTTTCTGGGTTTTCGAAGCTGACATGCAGTATCCTTTGCCGGTCTGGCCTGGAAAACGTACAATCTACCTTGCGACTGGACAGTCTCCGGTACCATGTTACGACACGTACTCGGCATACTTCTGATCGCTCTACACATTTGGGCTGCCGCGTCGAGCTACGAGGTTCTGGGTGATTTTGGATGGTTCTATTCGGACTTTTTCCTCATCGAGCAAATTCCAGCTCAACTAGCGTATACGGGCATTTACAGATTCCTCAATAATCCAGAAAGGAGTATGGGTGGAGCGGCGTTCTTCGGTCTTTGGTTGATGAGTAACTCAAAGCTCGTCCTGGCGTTGGCAGTCATCAGTCATCTGAGTCACTGGTGGTTCCTCTCTTCAGTAGAAAAGTGCGTTTCCAAACATCCATATCTTTGTCCCACTTCTCATGCCTCTCATGAACTGCTATGATGCTCATCAGTATCAGGCGGCTGGCTGACCTATCAGACCTCACATGAAACGCCTATATGGTGATCGTCTACGAAAAGATGGCGGCTTGACCAAAACCCTGAAGAATGTGGCCGGACGCACCATCGCCACTCGGGCGGACAAACATGCGCCGGAGCTGTCGCGCTACGTGAGAGAGGTGAAGGGGAATATCGAAAAAGTCGAAGAGAAGGTGACTGAAGCGGTGGAAGAGTTCCTCGATCATGGTGAGGAATATCCGCTTAACTGTGAGATCCGTATAGCTCACACGTCAGCTCGACCGATGTTCTCAGATATGGTAAATGATACAAGATTCTTGTTACAGCAGAGTAGAGAGAGAATGATCATCACGTGAGTTTTCTTGATCACCCCACCTTTCACTCCTCTCTCTGTGACATCGCTCAGATCTGACGCAAACGTGGGAGTCTCAGTCGTCATTCGGATCTCAATTGTCATGTGAAAACAGGATGACTAACGTGCAGCCGAGTCGCCTCGGATATCTCAGCATACGACACTTCACACTATTCCCTTCATCTGCCATCTCGTTCTGACTCTCCAATACCGCGATTCCACGTCGGTCAGCCTATCCCCGTATCGTGGCGTGCCCCATTAAATCACAGTAAGAAAGACTGGATTGGAATCTACCGTCTCGGAGCATGTCGCTCTCAATTGGTCACGAGGGTGGCTTCGATGGGTCATTGGATGCCATTGTACGAAGAAGAATGGGATGGAGATACTCCTCTCGAAAGTCCCAGTATTAAGAAAGGAGATGGGGGTACGGTGATTTTCCGTGGTGATCAATTACCTTGGCAACCGGGTCAATATGAGGTGAGGTATCATCATGATGGGAAACATAATGTCATGGCTCGTGTAGCTCCTATTGAGATTTATGGTGAGTTATTTGCTCTTAACCCAACACTCGAGTCACATATTCGTTGTCTGACATCCTGCCGTCTACCTTTAATCGACTTGCCTTATCGTATCACCCTCGTCCACGTGATGAGTTTAGTGAGAGGATGAGTTTCATTGACAGTGTTCCGTAAGGGTCGGTGAAGACGTGATTGACCAACAGTGGACCATCCGGAAGATACGACATCTTTCAAATCAGTCCATACTACATTACTCAACATCGTTTCTTTAGCCCTTGAACAAGATCCTAAACTCGTCCCTCGACGTGCTCGAGCGGCTTCTTGCGGTACCGTCCCCAATTCCATTCCCAACCTGACCACTGCGACTTCATCTCAAATCCCACTTTCTGTCCACAGTACTGAAAATACAACGCAGACATTCTCTACTGTCTCAGGAGAAGAGCAGACCAAGCACGTAGAAGATGTCTGTTCGGCATCAGAGTCAGTTGGGATGGAAGAACAAGATGGTGATACGTCACCAGGCGCTCTAGATCCGGATGATTTCGTGATCATGGATGAGAAACAAGCCAAGAGGATCGTATCTCTGTGCGAGCTGGCTTTTGGGGTGGAATTGAGTGTGGATGTAGTCGTGGCCGATGCCAATGTGGGTGCGTTGGCCAGACGAGTAGTAGGAGCGAAGAGTTTGGTTTCCTAGTTTTTAGTATTTCACTTGAGATGTTTATATACACCAACGTATTTGGTAGATGGCAAAGAAGTGACATGCAGGGGGTTTGGTTCGGATATGTCCGCGGTTGGTTTCACAGGTACAGATTACATCGTAGCCACTGCATGTGCAGTGGTCATTATGAGCGAGGAAGCCTCGAGAGAGACTGAGGTGAACCTGTAAGCAAGAGTGATAAAAGACAGGAAACGTAATGCATGCAAATTGTCCATTAATCTTGAAAATCATACCGTTCTAGAGTCATTGACGGGTTTCATTAACATGGCTTGCGGAGTAACATCAGATTATGGGGTACAGTGTTCGAACGGGATGAACGTGAGAGTGGAAGTGGAAGTGGATGACAGGAAGAGACGAGCGATTATAGGGAGAAATCATCGTCGAAGAATGTTCCATGCCGTGAATAACGTGATGAGAAGGGAAGTGAAGACCATTATTCCGGCTGGTTCGGATAAAGCGGAAAGAGCAGCGTCGAGTGAGGGTACATGTCCATCACAGGTCGTACATGTCCATCCACCTGATACAAATCAGCATCATTTCCCCTTCTACCATAAACTAAGATTTCTGCCCAATTGGCATGCACACGATTCCAAGCCACAACTGGACCAACGCAACTTATCGCGGATAGTCGCAGGGTTGACAAATTGAGTGAAACGGGAGGTAAGAAGAAGAGGGAATGAACGGAGAGCAGAATATTTCAGTGTACATTAATAGAAAAGTACGAGGGAGTGAGCGGAATAGATGTGAAGTCAAATCGACTGAGAACAGGAAGTTCAGGGTTCGACGTCAGCCCACAAGAGATGAGGGTAGGAAAATAAGAAAGAAAAAGAAACCCACTAGCTAAAGGCGTATATGATCCAGGTCGATACATCGCAAATTGCGTACCGGAATAATCACTCAAATAACCTCCTTTTACAGGGACACCAGGTCCACGTTCATCCCATATCTTCAAAACATAAGTCGCTTGAGCGAATGGAGTTGCACCTGGGACTTGTTCGGCTTGCCAAGGGTTCCATATGACCTGGAATTAGCTCACTATCTTCTCATGATCATCCTATTTTCTCGTGATCAGGTCTGTACTGTCCATGTGAGTAGTTTCTCGGTGACACGTGTATTTTGCTCCCTCTGACTTAATCTTCGGTTGAAATTTGCGTGGCGGACGTGTTCGTGATAATTGCTAAAAGAGGGTGTCAAGGAAGAAAGAAGCTGAAAAGTCTGAAGCTCCCACAATGAGTAGAATGTCATACAAGAATAGGGACAAGTGAAGATAAATAGAGATGAATTGTAACTTACTTGAGTAGCATTACCAGGTAATACATTCCCAGTTCCTCCTGTTGGTCCTACTGGATATGTGTTACCATTAGCTGAACAAGAAGCGATCACTGTCAGACTTTTCGGTTGAACACTATTTTCATCAGTATAATTTCCTTCAAATCTTCATCGTTGACTCCGACATGCGCTCCTCTCTGGTCTAACAACTAACCACATGGTACAAATACATCTCTCAAGTGACCGAGGTCATGGGGCAGGAAACAGCTGACGTAATCAGGATGAAATGAGTTGGAGGAGAAAGTAAGCAAAAGGGATGAAGATGGGGATAGGCATACAAGAAGAGAAAGATTGACTTACTAAAGACTGGTCAAATTCCAACCAAAAGTGATATTCTCCTCACTTGCAATCTTATAATAACTCGCACTCGCCGTCGTGGGCGGTTGTGTCACATACACTCCTCCCGCCGCCGCAGTCCCAGGAATGGAGATCGAACTGGTGGATGTGGAAGACGAGTTGGAGGATGCTGATCCTGACACTCTGGAGCCTGATGCGGAGGCCGAGCCAGAAGCTGATGGCTGTGCTGAGCCTGAGGACATGTTGTGAAGATGTGGAAGTGTGAGGGGAATGGAGGAACCGTTTTCGAATCGTTGACCTGTACCACCACGGGCCTTTATGATCGAGGTTTAGCAGGAGAGAGAGGGATGAGGTGGGAAACTCCGCGAGTGGACTGTGAATGACTGATATAACGTGTATATGTAGAAGGATGAATGAGAAGGAGAGGTGATACGCTGAGAAACGCAAGCAAGACACAGTCCTATGCGATGGTCAGAGGATGGGAAAGTTTGTGGTGTGCGGATGTAAACCTGATGGATGCGGGGCTGTGCCACTCCTTTGTCCCCTTCGTCTCTCCCCGCCACGGTCAGGGCTTCTCTACGCTGCTAGCTACTGATTCCATATCTTACATTCTCACCAGATCAAGAACAGGCAGCCGAACTTTCCTATCTGCGGATGTGCATGTGACGCCAGCTACACACATTAGATACCAACTTGTTCGACATTCATGAATCGATCGGAAATTCGCCCTGAATTCTGAAACCAAGCTTGAAACAAGCGGGAATCTCCGGATGGGAATTCACTTCCAAAGCGTCATGCGTCATAATCGATCATGCATTCCAATCAGACTATGAGCCACTAGTAAATAACTTCATACCACCGACGCCTTATCGAACTACTTTTCGACTCCAAGAGCTCCCTGTGACGAGATCAGTTGGATATCGATAAACATGACAAATCGGACATACCTTGGCTTTGTCCATCAACGACTCTTGGTTGTCATTCTTGTTGCCGGAAATGGCATCGATGGCTCCCTGACCATAGCTGAACATAAGCGCCTAATATCCCGTGGCGGTGAAAGTTGAGAGGAGGACTTACGACTTCTGCGATTGAGGTTGAGCCGTGGAAGCGGCAGACTGTTTGTCAGCTCGACTCAGGTTCATCCAGGAGGAACAGTGCAGGATAACGAGAGTGAAATGAGGCGGAATGTGCGATGACAACTCACATCAGCCTTTCCCTTGATGGCATCACCAGCCTGTTCTGGATGCTTAGCGGCTGATCTGCGAGCGGATGAAAGAGTGACTCACCGAGATAACTTTTCTCGGAGTCGGGTTTGAGGGCAGCGCCGGCCTCTAGTAGGTGAGCTACTTGTACCCTCCAATCGAGAGATCTGAGAGACCGTTGATACGAGTCAAAGATGAAGGATTGAATACAATACACATGGTTGTGGGGATAAAAGAGGTGAACGAGATGGTTGTGAATCACGATAAGCAGGGGACCGATCAGTGTGAGGGGGTACAACGACGTGACCTGATTGATGTGACAGTAGGAGAAGGGGACACTCACTGTCGGTAGCAGATTGACGACCAGTGTCAGACATTGCGACGTTTATACTTGTCGTGGTGGGTTTGTAAGAGGGTTATTGGAAGGGGTAGAATGTGTGGAAAAGATGAAAGTCAGATGAAGAAGAAGAAGGGGTGGATCCTCACCTTATATATCTTTCTACCTCTCTCCTCTACCTTACACACCGTCACCCTTCGGCACTCCGTCACCGTCGTCACCCCCATGACAATGGAATTCTCGATGCTGAGGAATAGTCACGACGTCACCGTGGTCCATGCTCAAAGGCGGAGGAGCAGAGAGGTGTGTCGGAACAGTGCCTGAATTTGGGAGAAATCTATGACGAAGGGATCGGCGGTTGAGTTTCAGTAGTGTCACGTGGAATGACGTCGAGGAGGTCTCTAGCGCTTGGCGGCGGAAGCGAGTGAAAAGTTCGTACATACACTAAGTACGTATAAGTATGAGTGAATTGAACCATTCAACACCTCTTGAAACTAGACATTCACTCAGTTTCACAAAGAACACTCGACTGAAGAAAAAGTATCTGGTGAGTGTTTTTCCAATAGTCTCGGGTGGGAAAGTACTAGAGGGATTGAGAGTTAGGCTAATGAGACAGAAACATCTAAAACTCCCATCCGTCCGAAATGTCTGAGAACAACCAAGGTGCTATCAACCCAGCCACTGGCGATGCAGGTGAGATTTCTCTCTCATCTAGAACTTGACCTGAGAGCTGATCACATTCTTCTGATTCGTATGACATTTCACCACTTGACTCGTACTCGTACGCCTATCGACCGTCTGATAATCGGAATTTCGATCAATCATCCAAACCCTCTCATGGTGACATCCCCTCCCCTCATCCTTCTTTCAATCAACTTTCTCTGTGATGTCTCACTTCCTCTCACCTGCACGTCGTCCTTCTTCACTACTATGTAATCGACCGAACCTCATTCAGGCAACCCGAAAACCGGTCAAGATTTCGAATACGCACCCAAACACGCTCACGACCGCATCGACTCCAAAGACCAACAATCATTCGCCAATAAGATTGCGGATGCTCACCGGGTAGAACAGCTTGAAAAACAAGCAGAGAGGGAGAAGGCGGACGTGCCACCCACAGAGGCTGCGTTAAAACATGGGAATGAGCCGAGCAAAGGGGCGAAGATAGACGAGGCGCTGGAGGTAGAAGATGAGGCTGAGTTGAGGAAGAAGGCGGAGGCAAAAGCACAAAGCAAGGAGGCTCATAAGCATTAGGAAAGAATCGATCATATGTATAGGGAATCATGAGAAGTTAGTGTTTATGCATCGGTCCGTCAATGCCACCCTACAATCATTTCATCCACGATATTTCGCTCGATCCACGATTTGTTGACTGGCGGGATTTCGATGGCTTGAAGATCGAAGATTTGCATGTCTGACGCAATACAAGAGTAATCTATTCGTACATGGTTGCATGCAAACGACTACAAGCTAGATGATCACCAATAAAACTGATGCGTGGGGCATTCGTAACCTCCAGGATTGTTGTCCACTGCGCCGTCAGACAGGTGTCAATGCCTGCCTTGAAGGGCTGACTCACGATACTTCTGATGATACGCTTCGGCGTCGAACCATTCACCTGCTGGGACAATCTGAGTTGCGATATTCTGTCTGGGATAACTGTCTGTCAGCTTCTCTAAGAATAACGGACAATCGTGTGGGCTAGGGATTACTGTCCTTTTCACAGGATATGGTGAGTAATTGGGGTATGCAGCGCACCACGAAGGATGTAGCATTATATATGAGGAGAGGGATACTCACTACTTCTCTTTCACCTCCAGAGTGACCTGCTCGGCTATTTGTTTCTGCTCAGGAGAGTGGTAGAAGATAGTGGAGCGGTATTCTGCATGTCAGCAAATAACAGAAAATCACATAACCTCATACAGATCACTCGGTCGTTCTGCTTCCCGAGTCATCTTGAAAACAAGAAACATGTTGACGAGCCGAATGACATTGTAGGTGTTGTATCGTGTAGACAAGGAACGTTAACTTACGAGTGCCACTATCCGGACCTTGTCGGTTGAGAGAAGTAGGATCATGAGTTCTATAAAAGAATTCTACCAATTCTCCATATCCCACGGCACCTTTTTGATAACCTATCCTGACTGATTCGGCATGACCAGTCGCCCCAGAGCAAACTTGTTGATAATCTGAACGTCAACACTCTTATTTGTTACCACACAAATCAGATCATGAAAGAAGGGTGGAACGAGATCTACGAGAATGTCGTACATTTCATAAGAATATTCCCCTTCTCTACAGATCTTCAGTGTCGCTCAAAATCAAAAGGATCGGGAGATGATTGTTAAGGAGAGGAAGACGACTGGTGATGAGAAGGAGAGGTAAGTTTAAAGAGGACTGACTTGGATTACCGATTTGTCCACCGGTATATCCAGAGACACAAGACCAATTAGGTAAATGAGAATAATGTTTATTGAACATATGTTCCACACCCCACTACGAAGTTAGCTTATCTCAGCGGTCGATACATAACTGTGATGGACTTACGAAGCATCCAGCGGCAAAAGTAGCATATTCGACTAAATATTAGCTCTCATTCGAGGAGTACCGCATATACATTCAATGACACAGCTCTGTAAACTTGGTTTTCGAAGAGAAGTACATTTGAATGAGGAAGCATTGTCGTAGGTATCATAGGGAAGACAAAAAGGAAATTGCCGATAGTACAAGGGATGGGAGATTGTATGAAAGTGTGACTTACTTCCATCACCAAGTCTGGCTTCTTGAGAAGTCCTAATCGCCGTAGGAAGGGTAGGAGCAGGGGGTGCTTTACGTGGTGACATATTGTTCAATGATCTAGGTGTTGATCGAGAGAAGAAGGTTCGAAACATACACCAAGTGGGATGAAGTGTGAGTGCTATGAAAGCTATGAGAAGGGAAGTGAAAAGTAGGCGAATGATGACCGGTGGATCGTTGATCCCTTTATAACTTCTTATTGAAGTGGTGAGAAGAACGAAGGCTGTGCTATCCGGGGTTTGTGGGAGTAAGTGATTGATTGTTCAGTAATCAGTGAACAATGGACAATGGTCATAAAGTGACAGGAGTCGTTGTCAATGGAAGTCCAAGTAAGTTAGGTCAAAGTTGGTTGCTGACCGAGACTGAGGATTCAAAGGCCGGTTGGTCCGAAGAATCGGGAGCAAAAATGACGTCACCCAAATGACTCATAGATCCATAGAGTAACATTGAGCATCTCGAAGGATGTTGGCAAGCATTTGCACTGGTATGTACTGTATAATGGCTACCCTCACACACCCACTTCACCCTTTATCTCAGTGGTCTTAACTGCCAAAGTCTCTTCAGAATCATTCATCTCATCTATATCGTCTGGTGAGTCAAAATCCCATGGTCGGGCGACAACAGCGGCGGGTATGAACCTATCTTTCAGTTGTCCGAACGGGCCTTTGTGTGAAAGGAGACATACCAAGTAGCACCACATACAACACCCTGACCTTGATCTTGATCTTTTAACAAAGCCCATCTGGTCTCAGCGTGGATTCAAGTCCGTTCACCCGACCCCGACCCCCATGTCCGATGGCGTGCCCAAGACCAACTTCAAATTCCATACCGAGAGAAGAATTACAGGTCGGGTGGGAGGGCTGGCCCAAGACAACAATTATTGAAAGATGGGACGGAAGGGAGCCAGGAACCCGATTTGGTACAAAGGTCGAATGGGGGTTGGAAAGTGAAAAGAAGAATGAACTCACTCCGTCTCGATATAGCGACTCAATACGCCTACGAAAGGAGCTAATTCACGTGTACCACCCGGAACGGCATAAACTATCACTCCTAGTAGAGTGAGAAGAGCCACCGAGATCTCTTTCACTTGGTTCAAGTAGTCTAAAGTCGGTGGTGGCTGGATGTCAGTCGGTCTAGGAGTATCTAACTGAGACAATCAACTGAGGGATAAAAAGATGGAAATGACTGACGAGGACGAGTTCGAAACCCCACCAATCTAAGTTTCAGCATATCACTTTACAATTGGATCTCCTTGATCCCATTCCGACTACCCATGCTAACTGATGGTGGATGACAAGAATATGGAATATGACGGAGAGCCGCAAAATAGGATGACCGATAGGAAGGGTCTGTCGTCTCAGATGAAGAAGAAGCGAGAGTCATAGAAAGGACAGGGCGATGAGCAAGGAATACAAGGTGAAGGGAACTGAGAGATATTGAACATTCAACTCACAAGTATATACACTCATCCTGTCATCAGGAGGTGACAATCCCACATGACTCGGCGTTCCCCAATTGTACACCTTTCCTTCAGCATTCAACAAAGCCTCAAAGCCTCTTTTGAGAGTTTCGGGAGTAGGTAAAGCTCCAGCCAAAGGTCTATGAAGACTCATAGCTGATGGAGGCATCAATAAACCGAATGGTAAAACCGCTTTCCCTTCAGTCACTGCTTTCTCATCATTATCATCTCTTCTCCAAACCCCTGAATGAGACCCGCGTGACGAGGAGGAAAGATGATGAGATTGGCGTGAATGCGGGAACTGTGCAGATGTTAAAGATGTAGTTTGTTGAAGAAGAGACAGAAGAACAGGAAGTCTTGAATTTGATCCTGTAGAAGAAGTCTGGTTTGGAAGTTGGCCTTGTAAATGAGACTTGCGTGCTTGGAGGATGAGTGAAGCGGCTTGAGGTTCGGTAACATCCAGACATACCGCCCTCGTTGGACCTGCTCCGATGGTTGGAAGGTCTTGAATTTTGATCTTGCTATTTCTTTCTTTTTTCAATATTGAACTCTTCCGTTTAGATGATGAGGTACTAGTCGAAGAGGCAGAACGAGCGGAACGAGTTGTTGATGAATCAACTGGAAGTGTTGGCTCAGGAGAAGGAGGATTGGTTGAAAGATCATATCCAGCGATAGATAGAGTAGGATGGTGAGGTAATGTCGAAGAGTCCAATAAAGGGGGCAAAGCTTCGACTTCAGAAGGGGAAAGTACAGGAGGTAATGGTAAAGATCGTACTTTTTTAATAACAACTCCTGCTTGAGTAGGATCTAATAATTGTTTCCTCAACCTACTCACATCTTTTTCTCGCAATGGTACTGTACTCCTTTTCTCCCCACTGTCCAATAAATCCCAAGAAAGGAACCACGATTTCTCATTTTGGACCTGAGCGATAGGAGGAGAAGGGACGATGAGTTGTTGTAATGCTCTGGCGGATTTACCAGCTCGACGATGGGCAGTGGCTAAGTTGGAAGATGCCAAAGGGTTTGGAAGAGGTGGAAGGGAGAAGAAAGAAGGACGGGGGGACAGGGATGACCAAGACGGTTTGCGGGTGGTCTGTGTGGCTTGGGTAGGGGTTGATTTGAGTTGAGTATTGGGAGTATTTTGGGTTTCAGGAGTGACCTTTTGGGTTTTACCGAGGGAAGGGAATCGTTTAGAAGAAGCTCGTCCGGGTTTGGAGGAGCCAGGAATGGTTTCCTTTCGATTAGACATTTTGATATGAAGTATGTCAGATGTGTTCGGATGAGCGAACGGAATTTGTCTGACCGAGCACCGGGATTTCTTATCAAGGTTTGAAGACCTGTCGAGAGGTTGAAGGGGAGAGTCAAGGATAGAAAATTATCGAGACAAGTGACGGAATGGAGGAGCATTTTGGAGGACTTGCGACTTTGTATCTATCTGTCTATCATCACTGGTCAGCATCCTGTCTGAACCGCCTACTAAGCAGCTGTGCATCTCCCGGGCGATGTCCCGTGTTGTCTCTTCCACATAAGCAGTCTTTGATTGAACGGAAGGATGATGGGTGTGTACTGAATCGGATGTCGAAATTCTTGCACGACCGAATCAAGCAATTTAGGTGAAAGTCGAGTGCAAACGGCCAATCTCACTTGGGTAAAAATGACGTTTACATCCTTCCTCTTCCATCTACCGAATTGAGCATTTTACTTGACTGTCCTCACCATACAGCACGAGCACAGTCGGAGTCTACCACCTCGTTCGTCATTTCATCAAGCCATCAGCATTGATCAGAAGTCAGGAGTCAGCATCGACATCATATAAAACGTCCATGCGACAGAACATACCAAGCATACACATGACTCCGACTCATTATTACTCCACCCTCCATTCTTTTCCCTTCTCCTAGAAATCCCCTCTCCCACTCCTTAGCCAGACCTCAACGCCCTCTGCAAAACCTCTCTTGCTCCACCGTGGGAACCATTGGACGTTGACGCAATGACAGACAAAGGTTCCAATTTCCACAAACCCTTTTCTCCCTTGAGACGTATGACCGGTGCTGATTTTCTCCTTCCCACCACTGCTCCTTCAATCCCTTTCCTTAGTCCAGCTTCAACTTCTGATGTCGAAGTATTGAGGGTAAACGAAGAAATGGTCGATGTGGGAATGTGAGGTGATGAAGATTGTCTGCGTAAGATGGAATGATGGATCTGGGAATGGGATACACCTTTGACGTGAAGAGATGACATTTTGTGATTATCAGAAGGAAAGGTGTTGGAGGTGATTGAGGATGTATCGTCAATGTCTAAAGTTGGGAAAGGTGTGACGGGGGAATCAGATCTCGATCGCGTTCTTGATTTAAGAGCGAAAGTACGGCAAGGTTCATCTGCAGAAATGTGTCCAATACCGCTATCCCTCCTTCGACAAAGTTCAAAAGCACTAGGTGAACGAGCTGCCGGTGGAACCAATCCAACCACGTTGACGGTGAGGTGTGCTGCTCTACCTAACTTCGATGGTTTTCGAGTCGAGTGGTTTTCTGATAGGACCACTGGGGTTGGCTCTGGTTCAGGATAAGATGAAGGGGAAGGTAAAGGAGAATCGAGTTTTGGAGGTGGTGAGATATGTCTAGAACATTTCGAAGAGACTTTACATTGTCCAGCTGCTATGGAAACTCTTCTCCCTCTTCCATTCGACGAAGGGGTTTCAAGAGTAACATTTCGGAAAACGTCGGCTGTACTATATGACTTTTTCAAACCAACACTTCCTCCTGGACGTTGTAAAGTGGAATTGAGTATGTTGCGAGGTGGTGATTTAGAGGTGATATTGTTTGGTACATCAGAATCGGAAGGAATGTAATGACCTGGCCAAAGAGATTTTCCTTTTAACCATATTTTCGAAGTCGTTAGACTTTTAGGTTTTTCATCATTTTCATCAGATGTAAAACCTCCTTCTGAATCTTCTTGATAACCTTCTTCATCTGATTCTTGTTCTTTTCTCGCTGGCCAACGAGGCATAGGAGATCTAGCCATTCCCATAGATGAAGTTTTACGCATTAATTTGGTAGGAGAAATCGAATCTCTCGGCGGGGATTTAACAGCGAATTTTAACGTACATGTTCGTTTAGGTTTAACACTTTCAAGTTGAATGGAATGATCAAGGGTATTGAAAGATGTGTGTGGATTATCGGATAATTGGGAAAAACCAAAAGAAGGTTTATATATCAATCCAGTTTGAAGACCATAATCATCTGATAGAGAAGTTCCTCCAGGAGACGTTTCTGCAGATCTTCGTAGGATAGGTTTCGTAGTTGGTGATAAATTCGTATCATTCGAATCGGAACGGGAAGAAGAAGAAGGTTGAGTGATTGGTGATAGAGAATTTGATTGGGAATTCGAATTGGAATGAAATAGATAAGTGAGTAAAGAAGGTGATTGTATACGTGTTTCTATATCTGAAAAACATTCTGAATCTGTGGAATTGACGGTTGATGGACAAGTTGGAATGGGTAATTTGGGGAAAACGAGTTGATCTTGATCATCTGAAGTGGATGTGGACATATGGAATGATAATGAAGTAGGAGATCGTGTTAGGGAAGGGGATATGGTGAGTGGGGTAGTGGTGAATAACGGTGGAATAGGGGATGTCATTGTCGTGATATATATACCGTAGTAAAAGTGAAGTTGGAGAAAGGAGAGAAACGAAGAGGGTTGATGGAGATGCCCAAAAAGTGGGTAGGCCAAAGGTCAATTTCTTTGACACATGTGATTAAAGATGGGGGAGAAGGAAGGTTTTGATATGGAATTCCACATTTTGACGATTTGAGTCGTATGTACGACCCGTTCGAGGATGTACAGAACGTGACGAGTTTGCAATGTTCAATTAAGTGGGTCGCGGGTCGTGAAGAAAGAAAAGAAAAAGAACCAAATACCCAATGAAGGTATATGGTGATGATTTGTTGTCAAGGGGGTCTTACTTTTCGAGGGTCACACTACCCCGAACACAAAATAAATACCACAAATTGGTACTTTTCGGAGACAAGGTCCATCGGTCGTTCCTCTCCCTCTTTTCTCCTCTTACCCTTGTCAAGTTGTAAGGTGCAGAGGGTGCATGGCTGCAGCCACAGACGCAGGCTTGGTGCCCATTCGTCATCGACGACACGACTTCCTCTGCCCTTCCCTGCACCCGCGGTAGTTTTCTCTTTCTCTTCCTCTTCCTCTCAGCTCGGTTGTCTTCCGCGCAAGGGATGAAATTTCGGACCCTGACTCGTCTCCCGTTTTTCCGGTCTCCAATCTCCGAAATCCCGACCAACAACCACTTTTCGTTCCCTCTTTGTGGCAGTGATTTTTTCCTAGCAGTCTAAACCCCGTTTCACTCACGCTTAGGGGCCGAGCATGGTGGTAAGGGACAAGGACAAGATCACGAGGGTCTTCTCCCACAACGGACTGGTACTGCACTGCTCAGTGTCACCGCCGGGACTGGTACAAAGTAGGGTCAACCTCGGAGTAGCTTGCATATATTGCTCGGGTGCATAATCCGAGGTTGCAAGTCATGACGGTCATCAAGTAATTCATCAGTTTCCATGCATGTTACTGTACACATGACAACTACGACGAGGTCTCAGCCTGTTCGGACGCGACTACATCCATGGGGAACCCTGAAGATGAGCCGGATCAGGAAGGAAAGCAAAACTCACCTCCTAAATCTCGATGACTTATCAAAGCGACCAGATCTGCTCTTCCCATGCTGACCGTCAGCACCAATCAATCAAACTCACCTTAATAGGACCGGAGCATGTGGAACAAGACGTACTGTAGACAAGCGTTCCTCAGTGACATCCACAGGGCATCATTGCCAACCCCTTTCCTGGCAGCGGGTTTCAAGTTTTGTCGTTGAGTGAAAGTATAACCCTCGATAGAGTCGGCCTCTTGCAACCGTAACGCATCCAATATGCACTGGGCCGAAACGGCGTACTCGCCTATATTGAAGTAGGAGATACCAATGTTGAATCTGATCATTAGCATGAAACTCCATCTTGAACTCCTTCTGAGAGCTGACAGGAGGTGACAACTCACAGGGCTCGAACGAAGTTGGGATGCAGTGACAAAGCTTCGTGATAGTAACCAATCGCCTTGTTCGAGTTCCCACCGTTAGCCAATGTAGCACCCAAGCGATTGTATAGCAACCAGTCCTATTCGTCAGCTGAACCATCTCTATTTGGTTGGAACGCGAAACTCACATCTGGTCTGACTGATAATGCAGCGAGGAAGCAGTCTTCCGCTTTTCCATACTCCTTCGTCGTCAGCTTCACTCGATCCTACTCAAACGGCTCACCTCGCTCGCATTGAACAGCACTCCCAAGGCTATCTGAACATCCGCATCCACCTCGTTCGGCTTGAGGTTGGCCAGCTGCAGGAAAGTATTCACCAGCTTCTCTCGATCCACCGTGTCCTCTGTCGCAAGCGCGGACTGACCGGTGTTGAGAGCCGCCCATTTTGCCAACATATGATACGCAGTTTCAAGCTCGCCCTCGTTCGTATAGCTCACAGCAAGGGCCAAATAAGCAGCTTTGTAATCAGGCTCCAGCTGTACGACTTTTGACAAAGCCATAATGGCTTGATCTTCTCGCTCGTTCTCTTGTTGCTTGAGACCGAGGGAGTACCATGCTTCGTGATTCGTCGGATCCTCTTGCACCGCCGCTTCCAGCTCGAGGACACCCTGCACATCAGCCGAGTAGGTACAATTTGAAGGAGACGGCTCACTTTGAGAGTGGGCGAATCAAGGATGTGAGTCGATCGTGACGAATATGGGTTTTGAGCTTGGAAAAGGTAGTGATCCTGTGCTCTCTTCCCCAATCCACTTTGGGCTTGTGTTTCAAGCGATTCCAGCGATCTCTGCATTTCACCCCAGCCTTCGATATCCCCCACTCCTATGGTATGACTACGAGCCTGTTGTCTCGGTCCATTGAAGGTGAAAAAAGCCTCTTCGTCGATGTCCAGAGAATCAACGACGTCGGTCTCCTCCCATGACTTTTGCTGACCAGGAACGCTAGTAGCAGATGACAATGCATCCATCAAGGTAGAAGGGACCCCTCGACTATATGCTGATTCTGTGTCCTCGAAATGTACGTTCTTGCTGGAAAGACCTCGCTGGGTGATAGCTTCTTGATCTGGGTACTGTGCACCCCATTCCCGTGAGGATTCAGGGACAGAAGCCTGTGTTTGGCCATTCTCCATTGCTTGATGAGACAACCGGGATGGAGCCGTGGAGGACGATGCAGTGTTTGATGATTCCAAGAACTCTCCTGCCCATCCAGTGGTGGACCTCTCGACGAACTTTCCACCCTCTCCAATTTCATCCAATCCTTCAGCGGGTAGTCCTTCCTTTACCACCACTTTCTCTTCTCCCACGGCTCGAAGAAGCTCCAAAAATTGACTTTGGGCGAGTTTGGGGTTATTTATGAAGATATCTGAGCTACCGAGATCGTCCGTAAAGTGGCGAGCTGTCTGCGACAAGATAGCATGGGCTCCGGTGAGTGGCGGAGCGGGAGCGGACGACGAGATAGCCGTGGTGGCGGTGTGTGGTGGAAAGGCTTCAACTTGGCTGGCAGGGGGGAAAGGAACTGGAGGTTGAAAGTGCACATGCTGGGAATGAGGATATTGTTGAGGATATGTAACAGGCGGAGGATATGAAGGCTGCCATGATCGAGGTAGATAACCTGTTTGATGGAAGGGCTTCGCTTGGACAGCCGGAGCAACATTCGGTGACTCGAGTCGGGATGGTCCAGAAGCACGGAACTCTTCGTGCCAGGGAGGAGCGACACCGGGGTGCTGGCGCTGGGGTGCAAGAGAATGTTGCGGGGTGAAACCTCTCGCCCAATTACTCTGTACGGTCGAGGGAACCTGAGGAGACAAATGTTGCTTTAGCGCAGTAAGATCGAAAGGTCGTGGTGTTTGACTGAAAGTAGAATTCTGAGGGCGCCCTTGACTAGATCTCTCTATCTAACATGTCAGCATTGTCACTGTCGGCAGAAGTAGCTGACTTGTCTCGATGGCCCGGGGACATTAGGAACAGATATCAGTCGATCCTACCACGTCAGCACCCAGTCGATGTATTATCGAATTTGGATCCCACCTGTTGCAAAGAGAAATCTCGATCCACTCGCCCAGATACAGATTTGAGTACGGTCGAGGGTCCACAGTCGACAGCCCCGCCCAGAAATTGAGCCATGGCAGATGAGAAGAAGGGCAAGAGGAGGAAGATCGGTTGATAGTGTAACCGAACAACGGACACTCACTTACGTAATATGTCTGGCCCAGCGGAAGCAATTCCCTCGATATTGAAGTCAGTCAGTCATGCTTGGTACATTGAGGTATGAAGTCTTACTTAACTTAGACGAGCTGAGCCGCTGGTGAGTGTGATCCTATCGTACGTTGACGCCAGGTGGAAGGCCACGAGACATGTGGATGCCCACTTTGAGACCGATTGCCAGCTCGAGTCGACTTACGAAACGTCTCGTCTGCCCCAGAGCTGCCCTGGTCCCCAACCTTCCTACCACACCTCGATCTTGTTTCTCTTCCAATAGATTATCAACCCAACGTCAAGCGCTGGGCCGTATCATTCCAAGACGTATAGCCGTTCGTATATCTGGGCCTGCAGGAGCTGGTGATGGTTATGATGATCTACCCCGGGCATCAATATGGCGACCGATAGTGGTCAGTCATTCCGCATTTCTAATCATGCTTGAGCTCATCTGTAGTTTTGTCTGGGATTGGGAGGAGGTGCTTATGTGATTGCAGCACAATGGACGAATCATGATACTTCTAAATGGATGGAACGATTTGGAGCAGGTCGGACATGGCGATGGGGTCAAGCGGCTCCAAGCGACAGAGAGCTTCTTCAGGCCCAAAGGGTGCAGGCTGCTCAGGTGAGTTCACTTTACGGTCACGGAAGCGTACATGAAAAAAATCTAGAAATCAGCTGATGAGAACAGGAAGGACAAGCTACCGTTAACACCTTGCGAACTCGATTATCATTCCTTCCCCAATTCATACTTGTTCCAATCCTACGAATCTACGTCATCACGAAGAACTACGCTCTAAACTCTCCACCATCTCAAGTGACCCAGCTGGGATTAATCAGTGTGATGGGTACCGTCTTTCTTGCGTGGAAAATCAGGAGACTGGAACCTTTTATGAAACGATGGTTCACTCATCGACCGGTCGTTCTGGGAGGAGGGGTGAAGAGGGAATGGGCCAACACTGTCACTCTATTCACAAGCGTCGTGAGTGTTCACGAATTCGTACATGGTTTTGTTGGCTTATGATGATTTAGATATCTCATCAATCTCTTCCGCATCTCGCATTCAATTCACTTGCTTTGTATGGATTTGGCTCCGCAGCTTATGCCTACCTCGTCTCGCCTCTACCCACTTCCACGTCACTCCCGTCATCCACACATACTCCTCACTTCCTGGCTTTCCTACTTGCCGCAGGTCTCTTCTCATCATTATCTTCACACTTGTGGACAAACATCTTCCGTCTCCCTCGACTTCTCACCACACTTCGATCTCCTGCTAGGATATCATCAGCCGAGGCATTGGCCGCTCATCAATCCATCCTTCCCAGTCTAGGAGCCAGTGGAGCGATATACGCCGCATTAACGATGACCGCAATGGCATTTCCCGACTCTCATGTTAGCCTCATATTTCTTCCGTTTGTAAGCATACCGATCGGCTTGGGAGTTTCAGGAATGGTAGCTCTCGATCTGCTCGGATTGATCAGGGGTTGGAGAATGTTCGATCACGTCGCTCATCTTGGTGGAGCTTTGTTTGGGGTTATCTACTACAAGTACGGACGTGAACTTTGGACATGGACCAGGAGACAATTGGGAGGGGTTCTGCGGACATGATCATGGATTGTGCGGGTCAGTGACCATTCTGCTCTAATTAGTTTTGAATCTTCTTGGTCAATGTCACTCAATGCATTCCTCTACTAGATTCATGTCTCATCCTAAGCACTGTCAATCTCACTAGTCTGACTCATCATTCTTCCAATGCTAATTTTGGTTGCTCTGAGTTCTCTGGCGGTGGCCATCGTTATTGGAAAAAATGGAGTCATTGTCAACTGATGTGCGAGGTTGAAGAGTTGGTGGTGCTGAGACTGGACGGCTGAATGGACCAGTATCATTTGGCTTGTCTGACATTGGTGATAACATGCTGAATGGGGTGTTGTCTTGAACAACAGATGACGGTGTGGGCTCAATCCGGTCATTTACCCCCTCCTCGAGGGGGTCAACATTGGGAGGATCATTCCCAGGCCTCGTGGGAAGGTCATTTTGGTCCACGCTCACTCTGATTGGCGGCCCAGCTGGAGACGTGTTACTTTGTAGAAGACTGAATGCTGAACCAGGCTGCTCACTGATGGGAATCAGGTCCGGAATAGTTGATCTGCCGCCGCTCTGACTCGCATGGTGTCCTGGCACTGCTGGCAAAGACAACTTTGCTGGTGGTCCAGAAGACACTCCTTGCCGAGAACGCAACACTGCTCTCCAAGGAGACACCTCCCGAACTTCTGGCAAGGAAGACTTCAGTTGCTGAGTGTGTGCTTCTGGCCAGATGTATGTTTTGCGACTGTAGCCAAGCTGAGAGTGATCATGCTGTACATGTGACAGTAAGGCTGAGCTGACATACTGGGGCTCCTCAGTGCATAAGGCATGCCATCCCTCGATTGTTTCCCGGATTGACTTACCCTCTGCCTTTGCCCATGCCTCTTTGCAATTACAAAGAAAAGAACCCGTCAGTCCCCACAAACGGACTAACCCTGCACAAATGGTTGAAAGCTCTCTTGACTTCTGTCACGGCCGTCGAGCAACTTCTTCCTTATAGACCGACGGTCGACGAACCTCGGCTAACTTCACGCTTCTGAGTCGATGTCTCACCCAACCAGGAGGGCGCAGACGTCGAAAGGAGTGTAACTACGGCGTACTTCGGCGTAGTTACTCTAACTAAGGCTTTGTTCTATTGATGGCGATGTATCTCGATGTATAGCTATCTCTATTTGTCTTTTACTACTGACAACAATCAAGGATCGCTGAAGAACTTCAGCGATCTTCTCAACTAATATGACCTATCCCTCCTAGACGTTCATCCAACCCTCCCTCGCTTTGACGTACTTCAGCGCACTTCGTCCAACTTCCCCGAACCCCGGCCATCCTCCTCCTCCTTCGACTAACTCCGCCTAATATCGCCGCACTTCTGCTCCCATTGTCCCTACCTAGCCTAACTCCGCCTAACTTCGCCGCACTTCTGCTCCCATTGTCCCTATTTACCCTAACTTCATCTAACTTCGCCGTCCTTGGTCTCAGAGGTCCTGAGTTACGTGTAGAGTAAAGAGGTTTGAGTCGTGATGGGGTTTTGATGGTCAAAGGAGGGTCGTTGTTGGTGGAATAATCGAGGTGTCACGACGTAGTTCGTGACAACTCACGCTCCGGCT